TGAATGGCTGGACGGGAGTGTGGCCAACGCTCTCTCCCCTCTACCAATGACGCTGGCAGCAACCACCCGCCTTCACCAAGGCCTTTCAAGCCTGCCAGGGGAGTGAATCTACTTAACCAGTATTTCGGGAAAACACGAAAAAAGCACAAGCTATCCTTATGTGGTCCCACCCAGGAATGGAAGAATACTACCGACAGACATGCACTTGCATCCCAACTTTGGACTGATGCTCTTTTTTGGCACATTTTGTTCGTGGACCAGTAGAAGTCCCTGGCACTCATTTCACAGTTGTTCAGCTACCCGAGCTTAGCGACCCGTTCATAGCCACGATCTGGGACTCTCAACAACGGCCATGGGCCACCGTACACATCCAAAAAACATGCCCACTCTGAGGTACTCCTCCCTACCTCCGCACGCGGAGGAAACCCTTCCATATTCTCTATCAGAACTACTTTCACTCATCAGAAACCGGCAAACTGGTCAATGAAACACTTCTAACCACTACTATCTCATGTAGGCCAAAAGGAAAAATCGGATGATGTGATTATGCCTATATACAACGACCGTAATTAATATTTAAGTGGTGTTCACGCAGTTCACGCATCAACACAAAATCTAACAAAACAAAACAACAACTGTTCATGAAGTGCGCAAAAAATAAACAGACAAATAAAAAAAGAGAATGGGGAGACCTTGCCTTTCAACAAGATTACTTTTTCAGGCCGGGTACTACTTCGATGATTGATGGTAGGTCTCTTCAGCCATCTGTAAAGAGTGCATTGAGAAATAGTAGCATTCGTCTCGGAGAATGTTCTTTACCCATAGACCATGGTCATGGCAGATCTTGAGGTGAACAATGGTTGACGACAAACTGTCCCATCTCTAAGGATCCTGGCCCTTGCCATGTGAGAGGTGAAGGGTCCGCAGCTGCAGTAGCGTGCAATTCCCTCCCCCCCCCTCAAAAAAGCACGGGAAGGGTAGCGACACCCTGGTGCCGAGTTCATACTTCGCTTCGCGCTGCCACACCGCCAGTCAGCCGCCCGACCATGGCCGAACGCGCTACTTGTCTGCCTCCTCTCACTTCTGGTCGTTCTCTGCTGCAGAGTCTTCTGTTGCGGGAATTTGGCATAGACGCAAGTGCTCCACCGTAGGATGGTGCGGACGGTGTATGGACTCGGCACTTTGGTATCACTACCATGCAGCCACAGCAGTTTTGAGCAGATAAAGTGGCATGTTACTGCAACTGCGGACCCATTGGTCTCGCACAGCAAAAGCGTTTTCCGGCGGAAGGGGGGAGATGACTGTACAGTTTGTCTTCGAGAAAATCTACGGTATTTGAGCCAGCCTGAAGCGAGTCAGTAATTTTGCCCGTTCTCTATGATTGGACTTTATAAAGCAAGTAGATTGTCAATCGCCTCAACCGTCCACACACCAACATCGGTTCCGACAGATTCAGAAGGGGTTGAGATACAAGGGTTGTGACGAGTATCTTGAAGGCAGCGTCCGCGTTCAGTCGAGACTCTCCTCTCCTTCGGAGCAGATAGTCAGGAACGCAAAGGCAACAGCTACATCACTTTCGCGACGCAAAAACGAGTGAGGAGGCCCACGATGCCGTCGTTCTTCTCATTGGCCCAACCTACAATCATTGACACCGCCCTTCACTCATTCCTAATGGTTATCTGATGGTGCGGTTGTTTCGCTGCTGCTTCTCTCCACGTCGAGTGGTGAGAGTGAGGTGATAAGGGAAAACAGCTGATATCAACAAGTGAGAACTCGTGCGACCGCACCTTCTCTTCGCCTTGAGCACGTACAACCTCAGTTAAGCAAGGGGTTCTATATAGAGCCTTTCCTATGATTTCTTTCTGATTTTTCTTCACTAAGGGTTACTTGCTACCTTGTTATAAGTATTTGAGCCGCATAACTCATCAAATTTGAATGCGGGCTCAGCCTTTAAATATTCAACGAGTCTCCCTTTTTGTATGCAACAAGTTATTAGGTACGCCGTCCTTTCTGTGGAAGCAAGTATGTACAGTCCTCATCATTGCGGACCGGTGGGGCGTGTCAGCCAGAAGGAGTGCGCACACTGTTGAAGCCGTTCTCAGCCTTTTTGAAACGCGTATGCGACAAAAAGGGGTAGAAAACGAATAATACGAAGGATACAATACAGTAATGCACTTGTCTGCTTCAAAAACTGGTGCAGAACGACTCTGCCAAACCGCACCAAACGCAGCCGCAGTGCCACGCCCCACCGGTCCGCAATGATGAGGACTGTAGGTATGCCTCTCTTTCTGTGCGGGAACAAGTTTTTAAGTACGCTGAATGAGCAATCGTCTTTGTTTTATGCAGCCCTCCCCCCGCTCCCCCCCCCCACCCCATCTCGCGTCATAAGCAAACTTCGTCATCTAGAAGTCCCCATCTTCTACTCAATAGTCCTCTTTCAAGACTGGCGCTACAGCCAGTAGCTACCTACTGATAAATAGCTATCGAATTGTAACAACCTCTCGTTCATATCGAGCCATTTAAGCACAAACCCTGTAGAGCAGAGCAGCATTCTCCTTTCCCGTTTCCTCCACCAAACTTTTGAGCACACCGTTCGATTTTTGCAGGAGCTCATGTGCAGGTCCGAATTCAGCCACTTCACCGTCTTTCAGAACCTAGAAGTGTTCATTTTAGTCGTTATGTTACTCCTCTATATATATAAACCAGCCGGCGCGCGTCTTTCTGAAATACAGCACGGCTTTGCCGAGCGGGCGCGGCTTGCCAGGGCGCGGCTTGCCGAGCGGGCGCGGCTTTGCCGCGCTTCATCTACATTTCAATACACACCTAACCGGCCTTTCTTTGAAAGGCAGTTGGCACGATAACTCCCCCAAGGAAATTAGGATCAATCCTCTTGGCAGGATAGAGATCCGTGAATCTGGGCAGGCGCTGCATAGAGGTTTCCCCGAGGAAAAAGTCCTTATAAGGACCCTATCAAGCCACAACTTTACGTCCCAAACGCCCGCCACGCCCCCGCCCACAAATGGACGACCGTTCCTGACGCTCGTATTCATTCATTTGCTAAGCAAATTATGAAGCGAAGGGATTGGTATGAAGCGGCCGTGATGCTGCATGCATACATGGGTACACATATTCGGTAGCGGTGATTGGTAAGATGCCTACGGGAAACTCGTCCGAAATCGATTTACAAGTCACTGAGAACGGAGGCTTTTTCGCAGGATTTTGACCGTTTCACTCCGTTCTTTCGCCATTTCCCCACTATACAGCGCCCTACTAGCATTTTAGGCTAAGTAGGAAACCATCGTGCCAACTGCCTTTAAATGAACAGATGGTCAACATTCTTTGACCAATAGCATGTTCATATTCCACATCATACCTGCTATTTTCAACACTATTACGGTGTATGGAATGGTGGTAAGGAGCGTTGATCAAGTGGACAGTGAGAGAAAAGCCGGGCATTGGTCGAGCATTTGATAATACGAATGCAGATAGGCGGCCCCTTTGGCCGCCCACTGCTGTTTGCGGAATTATGATATTTTTTTCAAAATTTTTGCATTTTTGGACTGCCCCGTGAAGCCCCGCCCACTATGAGAGGCTCCGCCCACTTCGGAGAAGCCCCGCCCACTTTTCAAAAATGGTGCAAATCGGCAGTATAGAGCCTTGGCTTGCATGCTAGGGTCTCGTCCGTCACTCGGAACAAATAAATCAGGCAAAGTTTGTTCCTAATGACCAGCAATACCCTTGCAAGCCATGGCTCTATACTGCCGATTTGCACCATTTTTGAAAAGTGGGCGGGGCTTCTCCGAAGTGGGCGGAGCCTCTCATAGTGGGCGGGGCTTCACGGGCAGTCCAAAAATGCAAAAATTTTGAAAAAATATCAAATTCCGCAACAACAAGTGGGCGCGGCTCCACGAGTACCTTCGTTGTGCGAAGAGTGGATGTGAAATTAAAAATTGAAAAAGTTATGAAGATTTGAAGTTCGCAACAAACTTTAAAGAATGGGCGGAGTCAGTCATGTGTTGAAAATCTATGTCCGCGCTGACAAGTAGGCGTGACCGTCGGGGCAGGGTTCGCGGTGGTGTCTGGCGTGATTTGGTTGGTGAACTGCCTGGTCTAAGAAGAGTGGTGAATTTGGTTTGAAAAGTGGTGAATTTGCTTTGAAAAGTGGTGAAATTGCTTCTGAAAAGTGTAAATGGTATGAATATAGTAGGACCTAGAAGCTTGTGTGTTTGTTTTGGTGTGTGATCGCCCAGAAAATGGGAATTACGTGAGAAATCGCTTCAGTAAACGGACTAAGTTTTGATATAGGTAGGGCATAGATCAAAATGCATGGAACACTTGTAAGTTAAGCTAGACTCCATCCAAAGTGGGCGG